GAAAAATCCTGGTAGCAGCTCCCTCTGCACTTCGCGCCTTCCCGTCCTCTCTCTTTCGCTCCTGGCACTGCCCTCTTTAATAAAGCCATCGCATAACAAGCATCTGCCTCATGCTCTGTTTTCTGGGAAACCCAGACTAAGATATATATATCCTTCACGACTTTCCTGCAGACCCTGGTGCAACAGGACTGTCAGGAAAATGTACCTCAAAAATGACACCGTTAAACGCCTCTCCTGCCTTTTTATGGATATTGGGCATGTATGAGATTATCAGAGGAAACATTTAAAGAGGCACAAGGATCTTCATATACCCATTTGTTATTTAGGTTCCCTTTAATTGGGGTTTTATTAAATTCGGAAATGCTCTACTTTTATTCTTGAACACTGCCAAGAATGGAAACCTGGCTTTCTGAGACCATGTGAGTTGTTTGGCACATGTTTAAGAACCCAGAGCATTTCACCGGCCTCCCTGGGTCCTCCTGTGACTCCTCCACAGAGCCCCAGTACATGTACCACCTGCCTGGCGCAGGGCCAAGGATGAAGTCTGTGATTTTGAATTATTGTATTGAGGCTTAGATGGGTATATAGCATGGTGAAATATATATAAATACACACACATACACAGCAATATATATATAAACAATATACACAAATAAATATGTGGCAATGGTGAAATAAGGACAATATTGAAGGAAGTCATTGTGAGGAAAATGTGTTTTGTGTTTTGTGTTTGAAAGGGCCAAGTGGTGTTACTATTTGTGATCACGAAGGTCAATCTGAGTGGAATACACTGTCCCACAGAGGGACACCTGTCTTTTGTGGAGGTCTCTGGGATAACAACAGGGACGTTGCTCTAACATGTTTAAAGAGGGAGGGCCAAGGTCCCTGATACGGTTAGACACAGAGCTGGCTTGAGCACCAGAGATGCTGATTTCAGGCAGTTGAAGGAAGAAAGGGCTGTTCTTCTTCTAGACTCTTGGGTGAGCATCCAGGAAGATGCCATGTCTGCATGCGGACAAGATGTTGAGGAGGGTTTGAAACAGGAGCATTTTATGAAAGAGACGTCATTAGGGTGTCAGGCTGGAGATGATCAGGAGAAGAATGAGAAAATCTGAGTTGAGTATTGTGATATAGTCTGCAAGACTCACGGTGGCATTCTCCTGGGAGTGAAATTATTAGGAGATCTAATGGCTCTGCTTTTGCTGTGGTTGAAGTTGATGCTGTCTTTTTCCTCTACCACCATCCCCTTCCCCAGAAGAAACGATAAGTGAAATCCCACGTGTATCAACCCCTGATGTTCTTAGCAGTCATAATTGACTCACTCTCTAGATCTCTCGGAAAACATCAAAGGCAGTATCTGCTGACAAGTTCTTCAGATATCGGAATGCCACATTCATGAAGTTCTCAGATACTCTAGTGCTTAGTTCTCTAGGTAATTCCGATAGCACGTTTTCTACACCAGCATTAAATTGGTCATAGCAGCTATGCATATTTGGTTAGGGAGAACTTGGCCTGCCTTCTGCGCACGCTAACGTATTAAATTATACTGATATCTAAACTGAGTGACACAGTGATGGTATTCATAATACCATTAAATCATTTCTGAAATTCCTGAGGAAGAGCTCAGAACTCCAGAATCTCATATCAGGGTTTGCTCTGAAGCTAATTTATTGTGCACTTTTTCTTGAACACTTGATTTTATTTATTAGTTCAATGATAATAAATGATACTTTTGAACTATAACTACTTCTGTTCAGTGGGCAACATATGTTCTTAGGATGATGAACTTGTAGGTGGAGCGATTTAGAACAGAGAGAAGAGATTATGTCTTCTCCTATTTGGGGATGAGAGTGGGGTGGAGAGAAAAGGAAGCCTCTTCCCCAGGATGTTAACCTCTATCACCTCACGAAAAAGAATCTTTTCCCTAGTGGTTGCTTAGAAAATGACCTGCCTTCATCTGTCTGTTCATTTGATCATCCACCCATCTACCCATCCATCTGCCCATTTATCTACTCATTCATTTGCCCATCCATGTATCCATCCATCCAACCACCCATTCATCCACTTATCCATTCATCTATCCGTCCATCCAACCCTCTGCTCTTTATATTACTAAAGCCTAGCTCTGGGTGCTTATGTTATTTAAGCATTAACAAAGATCTGATAGCATTTCTGAAATCGAGCCCTTGGCTGTTGTTTGACTCTGCTTCTTCCTATAAGCCAAGTGTTCTCAAAACTCCAGCCTGTGGTGCTAATGAAGTCACATTCACTTTCACATTATCTTCTATTTTTTATTTTATTTTTATTTTATTTTTTTGAGACAGAGTCTCGTTTCATTACTGCCAGGCTGGAGTGCAGTGGTGCGATCTCAGCTCACTGCAACCTCCGCCTCCTGGGTTCAGGCAATTCTCCTGCCTCAGACTCCTGAGTAGCGGGAATTACAGGCACGCGCCACCATGCCCAGCTAATTTTTTGTATTTTTAGTAGAGACGGGGTTTCACCATGTTGGCCAGGATGGTCTCTATCTCTTGACCTCATGATCCGCCCTCCTCGGCCTCCCAAAGTGCTGGGATTACAGGCGTGAGCCACCACACCCGCACATTCACTTTCAAACTCAAGTCTCCCTGCCTCTTGACTCCCCACATGCTGACGGGGCCCTCAGGAGAGATGCTGCACACAGTACTGAGAGATGCTTACGTACAGTGGCTAAAAGGGAGAGGGCTCCACAGCCAGCATGTCGGGGGCTGAATTCTGGCTCTGCCTCCTCCCCATGGTGTGAACTTGAGCAAGCTTTTATCTGTGCCTCAGGATATAATTGGTAAAGTAAGGCTGATGAGGACACTGAGGGCATCTAATCCATCAGGGATGCTGTCGTTGAACTCAATAAGTCGATGATACTTGAGGCCCCTTGAAGCCTGTCCCCAGCAGCATGAGCCACGATTACCTGACATACAGTCTGGCATACTCTCTCCACTGTGAGTTCAGTGAAACTGCACCTGCCTGGCATTGTAAAGACCAGATCCTGGGAACAGGGAGCTCTTGGAGAATTCCCCCTCTGCCCTCAGGCCTCCATTGAAAGTATCAAAAGATCTCAAAGAATTTTGAAATGAGATACTTTCAATAACAAGTTCTTTTTTGTTGGGATCATTTTCTGATGTGAGACACCTTCTCTTATGACATAAATCAGCTTCATTGTGCCTCCATTAAATACAACCTGACACACACAAAAAACCCTGTCTTAGAAATCCCGAAAAAAATGACTCCTTGTTTTCTCTGTGCACATTTCATTTTAGTTCTCCTGTGGTTTCTAAAAAGTGTTCTTTTATGGAACATGTTATTCATGACATTTGAAAGGCATCCATGTTTAAGGCATTTAAAAACAGTGGAGTTGAGTGTGCCCCTATTTTGCACTTGCCTTCCATGTAATTTGATTTTATTCTACTCTAAAACACTGTTCTTTTATACTGTGCATTTTTCTTTTATGTGAGCCATCTATGAATTATGCAGGGAAAGATACTGGATTTGAATGCCAGAGTTTAATCACCTGAGGCGGCTGTTGCATCTCGGATTTGGTCCAGCTCAATAGTAGTCAGATTTCCACCCAGTGCAGCAAACGTACCAGCCATGTGTTTAAAAAGAGGAGGCATCAACATAAGGACAGACAAAAAGAAGCAGGCATTTTTACTTGTAGATCTCCTATATTTAAGAAATAGTTTACCCGGTTTAAATCATTTCACACTGACTCAGATAGAGGGCGAATGATATTCATAATAAATGGGAAGCTTTGCTTTGCTTTTTTCTTGGATTATCATCTGCATAAGGCAACAAGCATATGTAAGGATGGTTCACTTTGTTAATATCAATCTTGATTATTCACCCTATTAATTTACACTTCTCAGACTCTGAAAGCAAAGGTTTCCCAGATGATCCATTTACCATTAATTAAGGGTTGATGAATGACCTGAGAATTTCTCATGACCATGTTGAATGCCAAGGGGAACTAATTGTTATTTTAATGATATTGTTTTTAGGCTGAAGACCTGACCCAGATATGCATTTTGAGGGTACTGTTATCCTTTAGTCACCTATGATCGTTTTTCCCCTTGTTTAGTGCTCTGCTGTTCAGACAGTGGTGTCACAGTAGCAATTCCTGAGGGCAAGGAAGTCCAGGCTCCAGCCTTGACTCTACCACTCATTAGCTGCATGATCTGGGCCAAGTCATGCTCCCTACCTCCCTCATTTTCTTCACCTGAAAGTTAGAGACTTTATCAGCTTTTCAGTCCCTTTCAACTCAAAGCATATTTTTTGATAACAACCAAAAAATGAGATTGACAAAATGTTCCTCTCTCCATCAACTAGAATCATGTTAAGCTTTGAGGAAACACCCCTTCTGTTTACACATGTGGGGCATTTCATGCAGCTCCCCAGACCTCACACCCAGAGAATCTTGCCCAAAGAGTCAAGTCTAACCTTAAAAGACTTCATACTTCTAGTTAACCTGGTAAAATGAAAATGCACAGGACAGGCATAAACAATGACAGAAAAAAATAGTTTATAAGTAGGAGGAAACGTAAGAGTTTCTTAGCTGATTAAAATTTATTTAAAAAGAAGACATTGGACATGGTAACACTAATGAAAATACAGCAGCCTCATGACCGTCATTAACAAAAGTGACAATGCTGATCTTGTAGCTGATATAGACCCTTGGCTGTTACCTTCATATTTTCAGTAAAGTTATCCTTGATCTCCCTCCTGGTTTCTCTTGTTACTGGTGAACTGCACTCCTAGAGTAGTGGACGTGGATGAGGCGGTCAGTCTGTGCATCTTCAGCACATCCTTGCTTGGTGGATTCATTCCTAGTCTCACTAGCACCACGCTTTAGCCAACTGAGCTAAAGTAACATAGAATTTGATATAATGTTTGCAACGATAAAAGAGACAAAAGTAATCCTGAGTATATCTGATAACAATTTCTTTTTTCTTTTCTTTTTATGCCTTTAGCGACAAGGTGCTGGGGCAACCAATGGAAAAGAAAAGACATCTGGTGAAAACGGTAAGAGGACATGAATAGTCCAACTTCTTTCTCTTTTGCCATCTGCAGCCCTGGGTACGCAGCAGGTGCGGACCATGCTTTCCATCCCAATCAGCTTACTATATGTGTCTGTGCGTCAGCGTACAGTGGATTTTAGCAATTCACAGTGAGCACTGAGGTCTGGTCTCACAAGGAAAACTGAGCTAGCTAAATGCCATCATAAGAAGTTTCCCTCCCATCAGAGGACTCCCATTTTAGGCAACATGATAATTGCAATGCAAATATAGTTCTCTGCTTTCTTCATTAGGGTGGGTGAGAATCATCCAAGTTGTTGTGAGGATAAAATGAGATCAAATGAGATAAGTGATTTGAAAACTGTGAAGTACTCAACTACTGAAACGATGTTTTAAAACTTGCGTCAGCCCTCCGGAGCACACAGAACGCACTGACAGTCCAACGGAAGGTGCTGAGTCAGTGTCACTGCAGGGATTCACTGGCAAATATGAATGATAGCAGTGACAGACACATTGCATCCCGCCTCTCCATAGGCCCGTCTCAACCATGACCCTAAATTGTAGGAATGATCATCATATTTTTACAGATCAGGAAACTGAGGCTTGGCATTGGGGTGAGTGAGATGTAGCTAGAAATGGGAAGTCCATGGATCCTGTAAGAAATGGAGCCAGTTGGAACCCCAGGTCCCTAGCTTTAGTGGTTAACATAAGAACAAGCATAATGAAAAATACCCAGTGGTATGCATGCAGGGCCAAGGTATAGTTCCGGCGAAGTGAGAATCTGGGTGTTCCTTCTTTCTGGTAACTCAAAACGAACTCTCCTTTTATGGAAAATGACTCTTACTTCCAACTGGATAAAATTGATGCTAGTGTCTACCAATCAAATTGTGGATAATGCCAATCCCAAATACCACCTGTCGTAATTCCCTGGGGCCTGACAACCCCTTTGGAGCTTCTGTGGTGAGTCTGAGCTGAGCAAGACTCTAATATAAGAATGCAGCTTGCCAACGTGCCCACCCATTTAGGGCTGTCCTGGAGGGCAGGGTGAGTGCAGCGTGCTCTGGCTTATGGGGTCGTCATATCAGTAAGTAGAGAGGTGGGTGCTCCACAATGTCCTAATTGGAGCTACGTGGCTGGGAGAAAAAGGAAACAAGGTTTTCCATGAGGCTGATGGCTCTTCTTTTGCTGCCCAGGGCTTTTCCTCTCTCCTGTCTGTGAGTTGGGGTGGGTGTGGGGGGTACTGGCAAGGAAGGCAGAAAGCAGAGGAGGGAGCACAGGAAGGGGCTTAAAACGGAGGAGCAACATTGTAGCTGCCTATGTGAGGAAGGACCCACTGTCTGCCACAGAGGAGCATAGGGTGCTGTGAGCCTCCACTGATTTTCCTGGGTCATACGTTCATAGCTGTCTATTCATGCAAGTTCCTTTCCAGTGAACCCCACAACCTTAAAAGTACAGTTTCACAGTCAAAAGTCTTCTCAGAGATTCTCTATTGTAGTGATTCTCAACATTTTTGTTCTCGCAACTCCTTTTCATTCTAAAGAACTCTTGAGGATCTGAAAGAACTTGGGTTTATGTTGGTGATATCTATTGATGTTTGCCATGCTGGAACCCTACTGACTTCCCTAGGGATGGCACTGAAGAAAAGACCTGGAGCTAGTGAATGAGACACAGGATTGATTTAGGGAGGGGAGTTATCTACAGGGCAGGCTGGTGGGCTGGATAAAAGAACCACAACTCCTTGTAACAAGCACGCAGTTTACACAGCGTTCTCACTTAGCAACCTACATTCATTCCAAAACAAAGCTCTCCCATCCCCTGTGTGGCCTGCATTCCATGGGATGGGCTGGGAATTCAGATGTCCCTCATAGATAAGGAATGAATATCTGGGTTGGCTGCTCCCAGATTCCCTAGCTCGGAACTTGAACTCTAAGCACGCATTTTTCTTAGACCATAGGGTCATTCTCAGGGTATGCTTAAGTCAGGCTATTGATGTCAGTTGTACCTACCATACGCTGTCTGCTACATTAGAAATTAAAATGGAGAAAATTTTAAACTAAATAAATTTCTTATTAATTTATTAAAAATAAACTAATAAATCTACATGTTAATGTAAGTAACATTTTAAAAAATGAAAAGCAATTATATTTTCCAAAATGGAAAAGGACATTTAGTAAGAAGTGGCAGTTTTACATTTCTGCAAATCTCTTTAAAGTCTGGCTTGACAGAGGACAGCTGGATTTTCATGTTGGCTTTCTGCATTCAATCTGTTATGTCACGTGATGTGTAGCGTATGGAAAATTCTACTGTTCACTTGTGGGAGTATGAGATTTAAAAAAGCAAATAATATCCTTTAAGATCAAACTCTACCTTTTGTAGTAATAATATCTTTTATAAGACCAAAAACGTTTTTGATCTTTTGGGCTCCCTTAAAGGATGTAGGCACCCCCCAGGGTACCTGGTTCACACTTTAGGAACTACTGCTCAGTGTGAGTCTCATGTCATGCCTTGAGAAACCTGAAGACCAGGTCCGTGGTGCCGAAGCCAGGACGAGGTCTTACATGCTCGGTGTCTCTGCTCCTTGGCTTTATGTTGGCATCATATTGGTCCTTCAAAGCATGCTGATGTGCTCAGTGCTTTGCACCAAAGGGAGTTACCAGCTATAACAAGTGATGCCACTTTCTGCCATTCAAAGACATGAAATTTCTTTTAGCTGAAAACTGGTCCACACCAGTGGAAACTGAGTGAGTTTTTAATAGAGGTATAAAAATTAATTGAATGGAAAAATTCCAGATGCAATGAATAAGGCTTTTCATTAGACAATTCTAGATATTAAATGATAGTCACTTTTGGGTAGAAAAGGGAATTTGAGATTATTTTACAGTTATGGAATAATGGCAATGTATAAGTCTAAATTATTATTAACATGCTATACTTTAATTTCAGCTAAAATGGCTTATATATGATATTTGTACCTGATACTTTATTATACTATAAAGTCTGTGCTTTTGCCTCTAAAAAGGAGGAAAGACAAAAGCTGGAACAGCCCAAGAAAGATGCGGGTAAAAACTTCTAGAAGTAATCTAAAAAACATTTCCCTAAAGAATTGAAGTTACTTAATTTTTTTATTTTAAATTCCTGATATGAGAAGATCATCTTGGAATTTCTGTTTTAACCTAATATTACATTCCACTGAAATTCAAATGATTTTCCTCTGTCATTGCAGGTGTCTAGAGAGCTCTATTATGTTAATGTATATTTTCTATTAATATCAAGTGAAGCTGTCTACATGTCTTGAGGGAGCAAGGACCCTTGAGAATTAAAATATGAAGTATTAAAAAACCCATCAAAATGTTATCAGATTTGGATAGTAACACTTAATAATAAAAGGGACATTCTCAAATGATATTAGTTGTCTATACAAGTCAGGGTGTTCTTAATCCAAATATTGTAAATGTAGTTGAGGTCTCCATTTAACATATAAAGCAATAAAGACTGTGGGAGCAAACTACGGGTGCTTTGAAATTATTTGGATCGCAAAAGACCCAAGTCAGGTACATTAAAACTTCGGAAGGTATTTAGATTCCTGGCCTTTCCTGCAATTTCATTACATGGAATATTATCTTGAGAGCACCGTTTCCTGGGAATCAGATTTATCATAATTTCAAGATTTATTTTTGTTGTTATTGTCATCATGGTATTTATTGATGTGAAATACGACCTACTGCATACTCTCCAGAATGTTCCAAAATCCTCCTCATTTTCCCAGGATGTTAACCTCTTACACACACTCCAGCAAACCTGATGTTTCTTCTAGAACTGGATTTTGTGATATTATCTGCAGTAGTCAGACACGTTTTTCAGAAATGTTAGGGTTAAAATTTCTTTTAATGCAGAAAATAAATATTTCAAGGCTTGGAGGTTCAGAGATTTTTCATTCCTGTGTGAGCAAAGTGCCTTCATCATTTGATTAGTCAAGACACAGATTTCATTTGTTTCTGGAAATAACTTTCTACTTGAAAGAAACTACAGCTCATAGCTTGTTATAAATCTTTTTGTCTCATTTAAATGGCTAAATTAAATTCAAGCATGTTTATAAATACAGACACAATGATCTGAATCTAGATTATTCACCACAAATTAGTAATTTGAACACAACCAAAAGGTTTTTGGGGGCAGCTATAACATTGCTGGGTTTCTTGATTCACACCTTGATATTGGTTGTCCAGAGAGACTCCAAGAGTTAATTTTTTTCATTGACACACAAAAGCAGAAAAATACTGGAAGGAGAGTGGCTGCTGGGAGCCTTCCAATCTGAAAAAGAGATTTATGAATAATAAACCTCGTGATGGGGCTTACTTTTAGAGTTTGGAGGCTTACCCAAGCTAAATTGAATTTCTAAAACTGGAATGGATTTCTCTTGACTTAGTGAGCTATGATGCATTTGTTTCCAAAAGGCTCTGTTTCTGCAGCAGAAGGTGTATGAACACACCTGATTTTAAGAAAAGAATCTCCTCACATCCAGGCTGTAGGTAAATGCTACAAAGGAAAGTATTATTCTGAACTACCTGTGAGACTCACTGCAGTTGTGTTTCTTTGAGTGTGAGTATCCTTGCACAAGCTCAGGCTCCATGCCTGCATACATGAGCCCCTTCTTTGGGAGAGAGATTGTGGCCTGAGAAGTTTCTAGTAGGTGTGGAGATATTCTAGGGGTACTTAAGACTTACTTTGATTTGATATGATATGATTGCCAAGAATAAATAAAATGAAATGTTAACATACTGAATACTTTCCTCTCACTGTTTTAAATAAATCCCAAACCCTAAAAGTTCAAGTTTATCTCACCTTTGGATTTTGAGGAAATACACATGTACACACAGGGTCACTTACTTATTTTTCTGCTCTTAAGTAGGTAGAGAGAGAGGTCCCAAGAAGGACTTGCATTTATAGGCAGACAGATATACATGCTGGCTGAACTTGCTCCTGGGATGGAAGACGAGAGGAAGAAAT